CCAGTGTGTAAGATTTAGATGAAAGGGAACTATTGGTAGAAATTTAATGTAGAATAATCCTCATGATGTTTTCACTAGTTCATTTCATCTAAATTGTATGAATTGTAGTTTTCTTTACCCCAGAAAAGACCCTTTATATTTAAATACTTTATATTTACATCGAGGGGACCCTCTCTACGGAGGCCACCATGTTTTTTACAATAGTCCAGACGGAACAAACTAAAACCTTTTGAGTTTTTATGACAATTGACACTACCACAGGTTCTTTTTCATGTTTGGAAGGAGAGGGTGAGGTGAGGGGGGCTCAGCTGCAACATGCACTTTCAACACTAGATGTCACTAAATTCTACACGCTGTACCTTTAAGTCAATGAGAAGTTAGTTTAACATGTTGGACCCACAGGTTTGTGCTCAGAGGTAAAGTGACTTACTGCACTCATGCCAGTGACTCACACAGTGACTTTGTGTTGCAGGTGATTCGTCGCTACAGTGACTTTGATGTTCTCAACAGCAGTTTGATGGTGAGAGTCACACGTGTCAACCATACATCAACATCCGTGTGTTTTAAAACCGACAGGTGGACGTCCCCTTGTTTTCCTGTGGTGAATGATTCTGTGTTTTATGTTTTCAACTCAAAGCTTATGACTAGTGCTGTATTGAACATACTTTCTTTTATTTTGACAAATTTCTCATGTGGCTGTTTAAGTTTTGGATTTTATTTGCCCAATTAAGAACTTTTGGGTTTGGGTTGTCGCCTCACAGCAAGAAGCTTCCTGGTTTGAATCCCATTTGTATTTTTTTCCCGTGTCTGCATGTGTTTTCTCCGGTTTTCCACCACAGTCCAGGGGTTGGGTTAATTGGAGATTTTGACTGTGGTGAATGTTTGTTTTGTTCAGTCTATGGTTTTGTGCCAATTAAAATGGATAAAGATGTTTATTTTTAGAAACACTAAATTGTGTTTCTCAAAGAGTTTAAGTATTCTCAAAGTATAGAGGACAGTTTTGGTGTTGGCACCTGAAGTCGGGTATCAAGGTACTAGCATATGAACATTTTAAATGATTCTCTTCCACAGATGACACTGTTGTTCTGACATGTTTGAAACTTGCTGGTCTACTTTGGATGATGGAAACAAAGAGTGAATTGTAGATGATTGGTTTCACTTTATAAGAATAGCTGCCTTGCGGTTCACATTTTCATGCTCAACAAAGAACAAACCAGCTCCTTCTTGGCTAATTTTTCTTTCTGTTTCCTGTCTGTTACGACATGTCAGAACTGTGGTTATTGTGTCGTCAGAACTCTTGACTGGTCCTGTGAGAGGGCAGTGATCATCTCTTCACTGCTCAGCTCTTAGTGCTGTTAGAGAAGCTTCCAATGAAAAACCATATCCTTGAAGCCGGGTCACTGACATGCTGCAGTAAAACCTGAGGTCTCAGCCCCACATTGTTGTTAACCATTGATCAGTCATGTGTACGGATGCAGAGCTAGTGCAACTTGTATAGATTTACATTCTGTATAACTCTGCTATATTCCAGGAAGTTAACCAGCAGTTACTGTTAAAGATGAACTGAAGGAAATCTGTCTAACAAATGATTTTGTTAGAAAAGTGAATTCAAATGTGAGTCCAGCATCCTTCCAATAGGTCACAGGGTAAATCTGATGGGTTAATGGTATCAACATACATTTGCAAGATCAGGTAGTTTGACCTCTTTTTGCCTCAAACAGTCTTAAAATCCTCCTGTGAGACAAACAGAGTCAAATTGATGTCCAGTAAATCTGTAATTATCAGAAGTTGCCTTGTACCAGACTGGAGCTGATCTTTTCTTTCTCTGAGTTTAGGTCGTGTGTCAAATTGTTCTGGTTGTGTCTCGTATCCCGGTCAGGTCACATCATTCCTGGATAACAGGAAGTCAGCAGTTTTTCTGCTGAGGTTTTGTCTGCTCATTTCCTGTCCAGTTTTCACTCTGACCCCAGTGTCCCATCAGCCCCCCCGACCTTCAGTCAATATACAGCCGAACTTTCGAAAACCTGCTGAAAGTCTGTTTATGTCGGTGGGAGTTTGAATGAAATACTTTTATGAAACACGAGTAAACAAGGAAAACAAGGAATTTAGTTGCGATAAGAAAACTAACTGTACATAAACGTTTAACCAGTTTCTCTCTCTTTCCCCGTCAGGTGTGTGGGATCAGTCTCCCTCTTCCTCCTAAGAAGCTGATTGGAAACATGGACAGGGAGTTCATAGCGGAGAGACAGAGAGGACTGCAAGCCTATCTGGACTCCATCACTCAGCATCCACTGCTGTCCAGCTCCCTGACCGTCAAGAAGTTCCTGGACCCCAACAACTACTGCGCCAACTACACAGGTTTTTTTATCCTCATTTTCATATTAAATGCAAAGAAAAGAAAGAATTAGTGTTTTCTTGATATGTAAGTGAACTAAAGAAGTGTTCTGTGTCTCAGAAATCGCCCTGCAACAGGTCTCCATGTTCTTCAGATCGGACCTGAAGTGGGAGGTCCTGGAGCCTCTCAAAGACATTGGTAAGACTCAGGTTCAAGCCACGTAAAGTGAACCTCTCGTGCTGGAGACTGCATTATATCTCAATCAACATGATACACGCAAATGATGAGAAGTGAAAAGGAGACATACTCTTTATTTTTCAGGCTGGAGGATTAGGAAGAAATATTTTTTAATCAAAAACAAAGAGCAGCCCAAAGAGAGGTATCTGCTGAGCTGGGTGAGTCCAATATATTTGACACTTACACATGAATTTTCTATACAGAAAACAGCTTTAACTCATCAGGAAATTAATTACGAATCACGATCAACTGATTTTATATGAAGTTCTCATCTGTGCGTCTGTTACAGGTCGACCTCGGTCCTGATAAGTTCCTGTCGGACAAAGACCTACAGTCAGCAATGAAGTTGCTCACCAGCCTCTCTGTACGTAACTGTCTGCTGCATGCATGTGTGTGTGGCTAGCTCTACAATAGACATTCAGTTCTCAATAACCAAGACTGAGTTAGGACTAGAACCTGAAATATGAAAAGGTATTGTAAGATTGACATAAATACACAATTATCTAGATCGTGGCGACCCACCAAATGCTAATCAGACCCGTTTCATAACAACACAAGATATCTCTAAATGTGTGCTGTGTTCCATTGAGTCCTCGTGGACCAGTCTGCAGCATTGTTTGCCTCATGCTCTCTCACACGGACTCATCGTCATCCCTTATGTTGTTACCATCCTTGCAGACTTCCACAGTCAGACTTCAAAGTTTCATCTGTGGCTGTGAGTTTACCTGCAAGTGACATGCAATGCAATTCTCTCACACATGAGAACTTCTATTTCTCTCTTCAGACTGTGTACCTGTACGCTCTGCCTCTGTTGAGTTGGAGAGCGAACTGCATACATGAGTGCAGTTGCACCGCCACAGACTGATACACTGTTCATTCATTGCACCGCTGCACAGAGACAACTCTATTCTATTCTATTCTCTATGGTACATCATCAAATGTCCTTAATAAACTCCAGAACTCTGCTGCTCGCATGCTCATCCATACCCCCATGACCACATCACCCACACCCTCTAGAAATGCCTCCCACAGCCTTGACTCCTCTGAGGACAAACTCCTGTCGCTTCCACTCAGGACCAAGCACCGGTCCTGAGGCGACAGGAACTACAGTATCTCCCTGAACGCATCAGACACGACACTGAACCATCCAAACCCTCCTCCTCAGAACTATGTCTAATGTTTAATAATGATGTGTACTTTATATTTGTGCGTATTTGCTTTTATTTGCTTTCTTTTTCTAAACTATGTGAAGTGTGTGTTAGAGCTATATAAATACTATCAGGATTACTAAGTGGACAGCTAAATCCAAATCTAGATCAACTAGAAACTGAAATCTAAAGGTTTTTTTACTCCTCAGCTTCAACATGTGTCAATATGAATATCTGGGTTTATCCAATGTTATTAAATGAGGCTGTTACTAAACCCAGTCAGGATGGAAATACAAACTCAGGTGAACTCCTGCTAAAGTTAAATCACATGCTTCTATTCAACTGTAAGTTTTTTATATGATTATTAATATTAGATGGACAGATCGACATTCAGTTCTGATTAACTGTGGACTGTAGTTAGGTAAACTCCTCCTCTTCTTCCTCCACAGGCACTGTATTTCTGTCCGCTGTTGTTCTCCAGCACCAGTGAGTCTTCAGCTCTGCTCATCCGGCCGTTCAGTGAGCGAGGCTCTCTGAGAGACCACATCTGTAAGGTACACTGGGTTCACAGTCAGGATGTAGGGACAGTAACGACACAGCTACAGAGGCCAGGGAAACCGTCTTCAGCCTCGAACCCTCTGGAGTCACGCTGGCTTTATGTTGATAAATGATGTCAAAGTCAGAAACTTTTTTCTTGTCATATGGGTAATATTGTGCTGAAAAACATTTTTTATGTGGTATGTAAGGGCACAAACAGCCAAAATAACCCAGGACTCTCAATCAGTATCACTCCACTCTGTATCTCAAATTTCTGTCCCACCCCAACACACTGGGGGTGAATAGAATTTAATTTGTGCTGTTTATTGTGTTGAAATATTACATCTTTACAAAAACTGCGTCTTTGTAATTCTGGTTAAACCACAGACGACACCAGGCGTTTTCATTGGGACTATTTCTTCAGCAGAAAATAGCAGAAAGTAGTTCCAGTAGAAACGGTTGACTCTTCCCTCTCTGCAGGTGAAGCCCAGAGAGAGTTACCTGAAGAAGTACGGCAACCCGAAGAAGAGCCAGGGCCTTGAACTGCCGCAGGTCAAACTGTACGGCCGTCAGATCCTTGAGGTATACACACACACACACACACACACACACACACATACACACACACATACACATACACACACACACACACACACAGAATAACATGCATGCACCACTAAGTATCATAAAAGTCTGTGTGTGTGTGTGCAGGGTCTGAAGCTCCTCCACGATGGTGGCATATTTTACGGTCATCTACATGCGTCTAATGTCATTGTGGAGGACGGCGTGTGTCGACTGATGGACGTGGAGAACGGCATGCTGGGAGTTCCCTCAACACTTCGACCCAGCTTCACCCCGCTCAGGAAGATAAACGTATGTCACCACGCACCTTCAATTTCTTTACATTGTAAAATAACTATATTGTAAAAATGAATTGAATTGACCCGTACATTCTTACAATACTCTCACAACAATATGAGTGCTTCTGCGCTTCCTTTCCTTGAAGCCTCATATTATAAACCAGTTTGACATGATTTGATATTTTTCACATTTTTGAAACCAGTAACTTTCTACGCAGTAATTACATAAGTACGCCAACATATCACAACGAAGTAAATATGTGTTATCTTGTGTTCTCCCTGTTCCTGTGTGAGTTTCCTCTCATGCACTCCAAAGACATGCAGGTTATGATGTTATTTGAATGCTTAGAAGATAATGAATGTGTGTCTGCAGACCACAGAGAGCATCGACGTCTTCTGCTTCGGTCACTTACTGTATGAGATGACGTACGGCCGACCGCCAGACGGCGTTCCTGTTGATCAGTACCCCTCTGTTCCCTACACAGCTGTGGGTACGTACCAACACACCTTGTATATATGCAGACACATGATGGTAATTGTTTTCACATCGACATTAAACGATCCTGAGACAAATGATGTAATTGGGACATAGTCCTTTGATACGTGAAAGGGAATAGTGTGGCTTTAGGGCAGAGAAACTCACTGGGTCCCCTTCCTTCTTACCAAAGAAGAATCAAATAGTTCACGAATGTCTCACCAGTACTCACTTTGCTTTGATGATTTTTCTTGTGTGTGTTTTCAGTGTCAGTGCTGCAGTCCATTCTGTCCTCAGAAGCCTGCAAGAGCGGGATGCCCACAGTGTCGCAGCTCATCCAGACACCGTGAGTTCACAGATTCTCTGTCAGTTCACTGCAGCAGCAAGACCAAACCACATCCACGCTAAACCTGCTGAATCTGAAAGTTTACTTTGTGTATCTTCTTAAATGTTGTATGCACATGTTGCAGTGAACCCAATCGACTGGGACATGTTTTGGTTTGACAGTAAGTGACTGTTTAGTGTTTGGTTACAGGAACGTGGAAGTGCTGTGTCGAATTTGATGCAATTTGGACTCACGATAAGTTCAATATTGATAAACTTGAATAAACAGGAGGGCAGTGCTCTGGAGCAGCGGCGGCTGTTTTTTAAAAGTGAAATTCAATATTAACCATCAGTATAAAGCATCCATCCATAAGAGAAAGGGCAGTTGGTAGGTTTGTGTATAAAAGAAGCTCCTCTTTAATGGAGAGGACTGTCTGGAATGTGCAGCAGCAACTTTTTAGTCGCTGTTGTGTCACGGTTTTTGTTCTGCAGGTTGTTCAGTGATGTCCAGCTCCAACAGTCAGAAAAACTCCAGATCAAGGTAAGAGGCTGAGTCTGAAATCTTTTCTGACAGTTTGCCTGTTTATCAGGGAAAATATTCTGGGAAAAAATGTAACCCTGTCTCTGCTCCTCCAGGTTCCCAGCAGGCTGAAGGAGGCTCTAAAGACGGCCAAGGAGAGCCTGGAGAAGCGGCTGCAGGAGGAGCAGAGAGTGGTGCGTCATGCATCTCGTTTACTACCTTTGAGTTAATATTTTACTTCTCCTGTTTCAAACGGCTGAGCAGCTCGACTGAAGACATTTGGGTCATGACCCTTCATCATCAGGGACCTTCCAGATAAGGGAGACGTAATATTGATTCAGCAAGGACTTTTAGCTCTTACGGCAAAATAGCTGTGGAAAACCTTGCAACACAGTTTTCCCACAACCTCTTCATGTTGCAACCACAAAACGTCAGTGCTGACATCATCGTGGAATTATTTTAACCTGCTCTTGCTATTATGGGCACAGGATGCTGATTTCAAGAGCCGCAAAATCCAAACACTCAAGAAACCCAATTTGACCCTCAGCAGCAACAGTAGTTCTTTCATATCTTGGAGTATTTAAAAAAGATTTCTCATTAAGTAGATGCTGTATTTTTTTGGAAATTAAATGAATAAAACTGTGTTTTATTAAATATTTTACCTCCGTAACTAACTTGTCTCACAACTGTCTAAACACGGCTCCTGCTCCCTGTTAGTGGGTGGGTTGATAACCAAAGTGAGAGAAGTGCACAAATGTTTTCAAATCAAAAGCAGGAATCTACTTTTCTTATATGGTGTCTGTTGAATCCAGTGATTTCTTTATTGCAGACTTCCCTTGTCTGGTGAAAGCGTCCTGCTTCAGTAATTAAAAGGTTTCATCGAGCAGATTGTAAACTTGATGTTTGCTGTTTATAAGGAGGATAATATTGTTTATGAACTTCTGATTGAAGCTGCACCAGCACAGGAGGTTGACCAGAGCTCAGTCTCACCACGGCTCAGAGGAAGAGAAGAAGAGGAGGAAGATTCTGGCAAGGAAGGTGGGCAGCGGAGTCTATTACATAACCCTCTGTGACTAAGGCTTATGGGATATGTTGTCCAAAGTTCATTTCTAAAAATGGCTGTAGAGTAAGGACATAACAAATAAAACATTCACTTCCTGTGGCGAAACAAATCCGCAGCGTGGCTTCACTTGGAGTTCAACAAGTACACAAGTTGCTGAATATTTGTTATAGAGAAGAGACCTCATTTGTCTGATTATGTTTGAAGCAACGTCACAGCGAAGTCTGAAACAATGTTTGGTTTGTGTCTCAGCAGAAGTCCAGACAGTCGGCTTATGAAAACGAGGAAGACGTCTCTGTCAGAAACAACAATAACTCTGGTAGGTCGCTGATGATGATGATGATGTTACTGCAGCTCAGTCAGTTTGTCTGTGTGTTTTTCATTTTCTTCAAATAAAGATTACCTGAACTCTCCAGGACATAATGAAGACCCACTCTTAATAATACTGCTCCATAAAACTAAAACTATTTTGGTTATTGATGAAGATTAAAATTCAGTTTTTCTGTGTATTTTCAGGTTCTGGAGCCAGTTCCCCTCCCACATGCCCATCCTCCCCCACCCCCCCATCCACCACAGGTATGTCTGTCTGTCTGTATGTCTGTCTGTGCTCCAATCTGTATGTCTGTCTGTCTTCCCTTCCATCTATCTGTCTTCCTACCCTCCCTCCCTCCCGTCTGTCCTCTTGTCTGTCTGTCTGTTAAAGTCTGGTGGGAGAACCAGTCCGTGGTGAGGAAACCTACTCGGTCTGTAGTTCTTCAGCACCGTCGTCTCACATATAACAGCATCGTTTCACCAGATATTTGCACGTGTGATTAATTGATTGAAATCGTTGACTCAACCTGCCTGTTTGTCTCTTCACCGTCTCTCTCATCGTTTGACTGCCTGGTTTGCAGACAGGTATCCGTAGCTCTGTCCTCATGACTATGTTGTGTCTGTAACTAGCTGAACACAGGGTGGGAACCACAGAGGTTAGATTTTATATTTCGCTGAAGTCTAAGTTTCTGTATTTTTCTTATTGTCAAAAAGTCCCACATATACGAGGGAGTGAGGCCACGAAGAGCCTTGAAAGTAAGAACTGCTTTCTCAGTTTTTCTTTCCTCTATTGTGTCATGTGGTTCTTTTCCTCCGCTCCCACGACAGTGACTGGAGACATCATGTTCCTGGGTCCGTCCATCTGTCCGTCCCATTCTTCTGAACACGCTATCTTGTCTTGAGGGAATTTATCTAAGTTTGGTAGAAACACTCAGTTGGACTCAAGGATGAACTGATTCAATTTTGGCGATTAAAGGTCAAAGTCGTCGTGACCTTACAAAACAGATTCTTGGTCTTGTGAACGCAACATCTCAGGAGCAGCTTGAGGGAACTGAGCTGGTTGGCAGAGGCATCATCCACAGGACAGTAACTCTAGTTTGTGTCTGTGGTAAAAGAAGCTCCTCTCCCCCACAGAAAACACTGAAGCTCCTGAAACACCTCCTCAGCACTTCGGACCACACGTCTGCATCACATTTGCATAATACCTGTCAGGCATTGTCAGTTTTTTGTGGGATTTATTGACAATAAGAAAAATATAGAAGACCACCAGATGTTATTTTTTCAGCTTTTGTGAAATGCTGACACAAAGTTTCCTACCCTGGTATTATTGTCTCCTCTCCTTGTTTCCTCTCCTCCTCTCCTTTACTGTGTAAATGCTGATTGGTCCACTGAACAGATAACTGTCATGTGCCTCTCTCTCCTCTTCCTTCCTCTGCTGTCTCCACCATAGAGCATGCTCCATTCTGACCATGTCGCTGGGTAAAGTAAAAGCTTTATAATGGTGGTAATGATGATGATGAAGGTGTCAGGTGGTTTTTAAAGCTGTCGTACACCCAGGCTTCCCAGCAAGCTCCTGGTCGCACAGACCTGTCGCAACATTATGAAGTCAAGTCACGAAGAAGACGGCGCCTAGTTGAAAAACTGAGGAACCACAATACTCATGATTACACACATTCACGAGGTCAAACATCGGATTTGTAATTTCAGCCCAGAGAAATGTTGAAAGCAGCTTTTGAAAAAGTTTGATAATGATGTATTTGCTCTTATTAGTTGTTATTAAACAAAAACAATCTTACTTCAGATCCTCTTACTTTGCTGAGTAGCGCCTCCTATAGTTAAAAAATCTACCTGACAGCGCTCTCTGGTGGACAAACTATGCCTTTACATTTCTCTACCTCAATTTCTTGATACTTATTGTCTGACAAATACATCCATACAGTGGTTCTGCAACTAGAACCTCACCCAGTAGAGTGTATACCTCCGCCAAGGGCCAACGGTCACTTCAACATTCAAATTCACAAGATCTGCACCAAATTTCACACACGCATCGATTTCAGTCCATTAAATATTCCTGATTTTGATCCATAAATTATTCTCGAAGAAAAAAGAATCCCAGATCTGCCCTCTTATCTGGATCCGCACCAAAATGTAACGACTCCTTCCTTGGGTCGTGCCCCACCCCCCCACAAAGTCTCTTGAAAATCAGTTGTGTAGTTTTTGCGTAATCCTGTGACACTTGGATCAAAATGTTTGGAAGAGAAGTGAGAGCTCACCTGCACACACTTACTCTCGAATGTAATTTGATTATGAAGGAAAAACTCAACAAGCCTGTTTCTTTGCTTCAATGAGAACTTTTATTCTTCATTTGACCCGAGGGTGAAGTGGTCAGTTTAGAAATAGTTCCATCTCAACTTTCTTCAACACTTTATCATCATAAACCAAACTGCTGGCGGATGATGAAGATGAATTTAACATTTAAAAAGATTAAAAACGAATGCAGAATGTTGTATCTGAAGTTTCTCGTGTAAGTGTCTTGCCTGGATGTGGGTGTACGCACATCTTTATAAAAACCTCACAATCTGCAATGATTCCCAAACGTCTCAGACGCTGCAGCTCCTCCCTGATTCAGACCTCGTGTTCTCATTGGAGATTGTGATCCATCTGTTCTGTCTGCTTGGTCGGTTCATCTGTTTCCTTCTCCGTTTCTGTTTGTTCTTCATGTGTCTGGGATGGGATGTCACCGTGGAGACGTCTCAGATGTTTAACACTTGATCTGATCGTATCTTTTAAGCTATTAGCGGTGAAAGTTTTTTTTTTGTCCTTATATTCTTTCAGAGCTGCTCTAAAGTTGACCAAACACTTCAGGACTTTATTTCAAAGCATTTTCTTTGGTTTTGTTTAATGTGGTACTCAGATAACTCTTCGTCCATTGAAAGCTTTAGCTCACATTTTCATTTCTCTATATACTTTGTGGAGTGTAACCGTGGAAGTCACTGAAGAATCATCTGAGTATTACATGAAAAACACTCAAGGTCACTGTCGCTGCTAAATGTAATGAAAGTCAGTTTGTTCCACGACCATCCTGGAGACAATCTCTGCACACGTCGATAACTGAGTCACATCTTTAACGATTCTGTGGAATGACTGTTGATATTTAAACTCAAGACCAAAACATTTCATTGGTCCTTCAGAAGCTTCACCACCGATCTCAAATAGTTGGAATTAGGCTTCATCCATGCATTTTAAAATGCTGCTGGCTCTGTCTTATTTTGAAAACTTGAGGCCACATTTTTAGTATGGACAGACAGAGACATTATGGAAACAATGACGTAGACACTCTGAGTCTTGAGGCTCCTATCACATGACCCTCTCCCAGAAGAAAACAACCAGCGAGCCAGTGTACCAGGCGACGTGAATAATCAGTTTCAAGCGTCGATGACCCTGTTGTCTTTGCTAACAGCTGTTAGAACGTACATCTGCTCGGCTGTGAGGAGATTTACCCGACCCCACCCCTTAGCTTGCCCCACCTTTAAATTCTTGTGTTTTTTTTATCACAGCAAAAAGAAACTGGTTTTTCGACTGATTACATCGTGTGTAACCAGGCAGATTGTCTCTTGTCTCCAGGTCTGGTTATAACCTGTCAAACTGATGGATGTCCTTTCATTACGTAGCAGAAACCTCTTTGCACAGTCACAGAGCAGGAGTCCGTGGACTCCAGCTGCTGCTGTTGGCCTCTGCTTTAGCTTCCTGTTTGAGCTCCCCAGCGTTTTTCTTTGCTGCCTGTCGTCAGCCCTGGGTTTCATCTGGTTCGGGATGCACAGTGTCAAAAGTGGAGGAGACGTACCAGGTTCACGTTCAATCACCATCAGTTCATTCTGTTCGTCAAAGTGATTCTGACAAAACAAAAAGACTTTGCTTTGTTTGGAAAACACCAGGACAGCAGCTCAGATAGTATAAGAAGTAGTAATAGTATAAGAATAGACTTTATATAAAGATGGACGACATGACTGCTCCCCCAAAAGTGAAGCCAAATCACCTGGATCGCCCCCTAGTGGCAGACTGCAGATGCATCTGTATCCAGGATATTTTGGCTTAATCTTTGTACAATGGGAGGAAGTGGAGACGAGTCGTCCGTCGTTATTTACAGCCATTGATAAAAGACCACTTCAGGAGAGAATCAGCTCAAGTCCCAGAAGGCATTGCTGTAAGAATCATCCAATCCTGCTGCTGTGTGGATGATGTTGAGCTGAAGATTGAACTTTTGGGATCTTGGATCAGTTTGAGCAGAACACTTTAAAACTGATGGTGGATTGAGTTCAGCCTGGACACTGATCTGCAGAAGCTGGTTTCACAAAGATAAACTATGTAAAAGCTTTAGTGAGAAACCTTTATAAATCTTAAAAGCAGCACCAGCAATTTAAACGTGTTATGATCTGTTCAGGATCAACTGGATCACAGAATTAGTTTTCTCTGTTCTAGTCTCAGTGCTGGTAGCTCATCAAACTGGACCACTGATGCTGAAATAGATTTGAAAGTGATCGGGATCATTTCACAGCTCCTTGATCAGAATATGAAATCCTTCTCGTTCCTGGCAGCCTCTCAGGATTGGATGGACCCAATGTTTGTTTTCATTTGATCGTGGATCTAAAAAATACAGACTTGGTGTGAAAGACCAGACCAAAACAGCTTATTGATATTTCCAGCTGTAGATGATGATGACCCATCAGAAAGTCAGAAAATGTCCCTTCCATTGATGAAATAAGTGAAAAAATCTGTGTATTAACCATCATTTTTAATTTAAATTCCTTCAAACCCTTTTTAAAACATCTCTTATTAGAAAGTGGCTCAAATATAGTTTGACAAAACTATAAACAGTGAAAGATTTTGTAAATTGTGGAATCAGCTGAAGTCCTCTCTCTCCTCTGTTTGATTTGAAGTAGAAGTAGCATGAGAGCATCATGTGACCACTGCAACTGTCCTGAGACTGAAGAGTGAAACTAACAAATCTTTGTGCAACCAACCTCTGGGGACTTGGGGAAAGTGAAAGTCACTAGAAGCCGCTGCTCTCTCTCATTCCTTCCTTTTCGTTCTTCTCTCCTTCATCCAGGAGCCCAGACTGCTCCTCCTCCACCTCCTCCTCCCCCTCCTCCTCCTCCTATGCCGGACTCTTCGTCCTGTCCTCCTCCTCCTCCTCCTCCATCTTCCTCTGATGGCGCAGGGGGAGGTCGTTCTGCCCTGCTGAGCTCCATCCAGACCTTCAGTAAGGGCAAACTGAAGAAGGCCGAGACCACCGACCGCAGCAAACCTGTCACCTGACCCCGCCCCCGCCACTGCAACCCGTCCTCCACCTGCAAACCATCATCACAGCGACATGACGACCCACCGGTTCTGCATCGTGGTCTTGTTCATGTCGACGCTCCCAGAGATGTGAAAACAAATCAAAGTACCATTTTTTAGTTTTTATCTCTATTCCTGCTTTTACCTGCTTTTAATTTTTTTTTAAATCCATTGCTGTGGTTAGAACGAGCAGAGGACTGTCGGAGGAAGCAACTGTCGCCTCAGTCTGTGCTTTCAAGAACTCAAGACAATCCTTGGCCCCTGAGGGTCTGAGCCACCCGGCTCCAGATAGAAAGATGGTTAACTCAAACTGAGTCTGGAGCGCTGCTGAATGAGTGGAGTGTGGATTTCTGTTCCTGATCCCACCGGGTGACAAACTTAAATACCCTGGATCCAAAAACTATGTGCTCTGACGTTGTCATGGCGCTGCACAGTCCTGATCCTGGAGCAGTGTAGAGGAACTGGCCCTAACTCCTGCTTCCACTCTTTTGAAATCATCTCAGACTCATTTTTGACATGTAGCATCCAGACTGCTGCCCGCTCACTGCAGGACATCAGAAGAAATGAAGAACGTCTCCGGAAAATTAGGAGCTGCACTGCAAAAGAAAAAAAAACCCAAACACCTTCATTATCTCATTTCTGTCTGTAATTAAATATCAAAATCTTTATAAGACAGGTCGCTGCATTCGAGACAAGATAGACGCTCTTTTAGATCAAGAAAAACAAAACAAAGAGCAGCAACAAACCAGATAATTGTGATGCTACCAACTGCAGTAAAAGCATTTCCTTCCACCTTCACTGTGCACTTTCAGTTTGCTCAAAAACCTGAGTGAAAATTAGACAAAGGTTTATTTATCGATAAAAATAAAATGAATAGAGTTCACTGGAAACAGACTTAACAATTAAATCCTGATGAGCATGTGAATTAGATCCCAACAGTCCCCATGTAAAATTAAAATTAGATTGAATTGATTAAAATGAATTATTCTCTGAGAAATCAATGAAAGTGTTGAAAACGTCTTATCTCAGAAAGTTTGGAGCGGAGACGTTCAGACGTCACAGATTTGAGACCTGTCAGGTGAAGCACAACTTTTCCTAACGTGACTCCTGAACTGGATAAAATAAATCAAACATCTGACCTGCAGTCATCAGCAGCCTGGGAGAAGGAAATCAGTTTTGTCTTTGTGATCAGAGAAGTAACGTTGCTCAAGTCAAACCTGCAGACACAGAAATACAAGTTGTTTTGTTTGGGAAACACCGTCCACTAACTTTATCTTCATTTCAGGATTGATGTCAGACGCTTGTTGGGGAGATTCCTGGTATTTTAGTTTGAATTCTGTTGTGTTTTAATGTTTGTTGTCGTCACAGCTGAGATTCATTTGTTTGAATGTGCCATATGGATCTTTGTGCCTTTGTGAATCTGATTTTGTTTATAGTAAAAGTATTGCATGTCACAGTATCATCTGTATGTATGAAGCTCTGTCCGGTGAGGATATAAACACTTTAGCACACAGGATGTAACGATGTTCAGACAGATTATTACCACGCCCCTAATGATTATTTTCTATTCTTCTATAAAATGTCAGAAAAGTTCAATAAAACACGATCTTCACTCTGCTAAAAAAGCTAAGAAGCATATTTCCCAAAATGTCTAGTTTATTATTTTAAAAACTGGATGATTTGGAAACCCACCTTAAATTTTCTTTTTAACTGCCACTTTCTTCAGCTTCACTTTAATCCCTCTCACCTGTGGTCCCCTGACATTCTGTGTGCTGAAGTGTTTCGCCTGCGACAGAGCGGCAGAGTCCTGAGCTCAGGGGAATCCTGCGGCCTGAAGACTCTGATCACTACGTCGAAGCACTCGCAGCGTTTGTTGTGAACGACCGCTCTGTGCCGAAATCCTTTGTTTTTTACTATTCTGTGCAATCCGGTCCAATGCGATGGTCTTCACGTCTTGAATGGTCATTAAATTGTATCAGAATGTTTCTCTGCAGCACTTTACCCGTGAGAGATGGGAGACAAGTCCAGAGGTGTGTTTGTGTCCATGAGAACAACTTGCAGGATCAGTTCAGTCCCCGAGACGGAGCTGGTTTACAAGCAAGTTGTTATTAAAACCACTGCAGTGTCCAGGTTACTGTCACACGATGTTATCAAGTTCTTTCCCATTGTCATGAAATATCTCCTCTACATTTATTGCAGCTGTACAATGAACGTGTTCATCCATACTGAAGTTAGAACTCCAGTAAGCCTGCTGTGATGAAATTATAACTGCATCTACCAAATGAACATTGATTAAAAAGTGGTTCAGGAAAACAGTGACTAAGTTGTATTATTGCAAACCCGCTGACGCTACAGACCACAACTGATGAAATGTCGCCAACACCCCTAAATAAAAACAAAAAAGTGGAATACAAAATACTTATCATACAATTTATATATATATATGAACAAGAATATCCAGCTTTATTTTGGCTCTTTATATTCAAGACTTTTTATGTACACTAACTTGTACCTTTCTTTTCACCAAATAACAAAACAAAAGATTCAAGCTTGTGGAAGAGGTGTAGTTAATTAGTTTAGCTGTATGACTAATTAATTTATTCTGTGATGAGTTATTTTAAAATTCAGTAATAAAATGTATTTAAATGTCTATTTGTGTAAGCCATGACATTAAATTGTGGAGTAAAGTTCTGTGATTTACATCCTAACATTTGTTACACATTTATAAAAATATAATATAATATTATGACGGAGCATTAGGGCCACATTTCAAAAAAAAATTGGGGGAATTAATTACAAGAATAAAGTCGTTATTAAATATGGTGAGAATAAAGTCCAAAAGATTAAGTATCTCCTTATTTGTGAAAGAACAATTCCATGAAATGCTCCACGGTCCTCATTTTAACAACTCTCCTCCTCTAAAACAACGGGTTAGAATATTTACGACTTTATTCTCGTAATTTATTCTCGCCATATTTAATAACGACTTTATTCTCGTAATGAATTCCCCCCCCAATTTTTTTTTTAAATGTGGCCCTAATACTCCGTCGTATATAATATAAAATAATATAAAATAATATAATATAATATAATATATTTAATTATGGCATGTTTTCTCCTCCATACTTTTTGACTTTGTGTCCTTGGGTTTTTCCGCCCTCGCTTCCTCCCGCCTCCTTCGACGCCGAACCGCTGTGATTGGCTGAATGGCGTGACGCAGGCTGACGTGTAAACCAAGCGCGTCGCCGATTGGGTGGGAACCCTCCGACCTCCGTGGAGTCCCCGCCTTCCCTCCAGCAGAGGACAGGGTGAAGATGGCGGCGTCCGTGAGGTGTTTTCTCCGCTGCGCTCAGGTCTGCACTCACTCGAACGTCTCCGTGCTGCACTTTGATTCACAGAACGAGCTGCTGACTGTCGCTGTGTGTGTCCGTGTGTGTGTGTGTGTGTGTCTCTCCTCAGAAAACCGTGTCCGGTCTGCGGGGCTTCCACAGGAGCGTCCCGGCCGCAGTGCAGGTCAGTTAGCAGCTAACAGGCTAAAGCCCCTGATTCTCCAGGTGCTTGAAAACGTCTCTGAGCCTGTCCGCGGGTTTCGTCAGACTCCGGGGGACACATTTCAGTCTCAGCACTGTGTCTCCAGCGTCAGGACAACACACGACAATGTGGATCGGACTGCGGTCACCTCCACAACTCAGGCCGCCACCCAGTCTGTGTGTGCGGCTTCGTGTTCACCCTCACAGGCTGATGTCAGAGAGAGTTCATGCAGCACACACATGTGCAAGATGTACAATTCTTTTTTATTTTAAATAATATATATTTGTTTTTACATAGGAGAGCATACATGTAGGACGGTGACTGAGTTGTTCAGACAGAGATAAATTGAGGCAAAGTGAAAACAGAGGAGACTGGTTGAATGTTTCAGTAATCAAGAAGCATAAGAACATGAAACAGTGCAAGAGTGGAAGTGATAAAGTGATAACATCTACTGATACTGAACACCAGTCGTTATAAATGAAGTCAAAGCTGATTAACGTGTCTTTAAAATCACACAACTACTATGAGAGAGATCTTTAAAGGTCCAGTGTGAAGGATGTATTGTCAGAAATCCATTCATAGTGTGTTCATTTGTTTACGATCACCTGAAACTAAGATTAATTGTGTTTTCGTTATTTAAGAATGAGCTACATCAAAAGTGTGTCCTGTTCCTTGGAGGCTGCCATGTTGCACCGCCATGTTCCTACAGTAGCTCAGTGTGGACAAACCTAGTTCTGGATCATTCGTGTGTTCTCAGAGTTTGAACAGAGTTTTCCTTTCACACATGCTCAACACAGCGGGAGGTTCACGGTAGCAACAAATCCTCCCTTTTATTCAGGCAAGAGGTGGAGGTGGAGCCGACAGAGACAGGAAGTGATGTTTTAGTGCCGCTGGAGCCGTCGCATGATATTCTTAACAACACACAGACGCCGTCGTCAGCTTGTATCAACACAAACTCTCTTGATGTCATTTACATCGGTGTCTTCTACGTGTGTGTCACCTCTTCTTCACTGGGTGATTTTTTTCTTTTTGTGTGTGCATTTTTACGGACTTTATTCCAGGAGGCCCGATCATACCAACCCATGTTCAGACTGTTTGTCACTGGTCGTATAAGCCCCTATGCACAATGTGTTGGATTTGGTCTAAGGTGTTTGTTGTCACTTAATTTAACCCGACTATTTTCACAGCCTCCTTTAGAAAAATATATACCAGAATTGTTGTGAATTTTCACACCCTTAATAAAATCCTGCTGACCTTTGCATATTTTTTTTAGGTAATGCACATTTTTCTCATTTAAGTTCTTTTTTAAAAATATTTTATTGATAATTTATTCAGTATTTGCTCACTTTGAATTTAACTCTGCTATTCTGAAGTGCAGTTTAAGCTACTGGAAGCCCATCTATCCGCCTATCTCTCTAAGTGCTGTGTTATCAGAAAGTGGTTTCAAGATATTGATAACTCTGCTGTTTGTCAGGTGACCGTCCGCGATGCCCTCAACCAGGCGATGGACGAGGAGCTGGAGAGGGACGAGCGGGTGTTCCTGATGGGTGAAGAGGTGGCTCAATATGACGGAGCCTACAAGGTGAGTGGACCCTCGTCAGAACACGATGGGGTTCATGAAGATGGTTTCACAGGAATGGAATTAACTTCTGTCCGTGGTGCCAAAGATTTAATAAAACTTCAAACGTGTGTGTGCAGGTGAGCAGAGGTCTGTGGAAGAAATATGGAGACAATCGTATCATCGACACTCCAATCTCTGAGGTGAGACAGTCCGCCGCTTGTTTTCTGTTGAACATGAATGTGAAAAACTGATTCGTCTCTTCCCGTGTTTGTTTTGTGATGAAAACACTGGAATTAACATTCTCCTTCTCTCTCTGCGACACAGATGGGCTTCACTGGTATTGCAGTGGGATCTGCCATGGTGAGTTCAGTCCATACACATGATTTTTACAGTGAGGGAGTTTAAAATTGATCTTTTGGAACTCGGCTTTCTCTAAATCAAACATTATTATTATTCTGAACACAACTTCCAAAATATAGAGTTCAGCTGAAAAGCTTTGGCAGTCTCGTTCAAAGTCTGTTAAACTGTTCTAGTCAAGTTAAAACAATGTTGAGACATTTTTATTTAATGGATCTGAGAAAATCTGACGATTATTAAATGTTGTCGATCTGATGATAATGTGTCGCCCCCTGCAGGCTGGCCTCAGACCCATCTGTGAGTTCATGACCTTTAACTTCTCCATGCAAGCCATCGACCAGGTCATCAACTCTGCAGCAAAGACCTACTACATGTCAGCCGGTCTGCAGTCGGTGCCCATCGTCTTCAGGGGACCCAACGGAGCGTCGGCCGGTGTCGCTGCACAGCACTCGCAGTGCTTCGCTGCGTGGTGCGTTCATTTTCATTCTTGTAGTAACACCAAACTAACACTGGGCTAACACACCCTCTTCTTTCAAGCCTCAGCCACAATTCTTGATTTTGGAAACCTGCCTTTGGATTCTGCATTGCATCATTTCTGCGGATTTGTCAGCTGCACATTAACGATGCACACTGAACTCACTTTCATGAAACCAGACTGACGCAACTTGATCCTTTTTTAAAAGAAGCACTTGAAGTGACAGTAGATGAGGATGGTCCGACATTAGTTGTGTTTCCATTGTGGTTGTTGTCTGTCTGCAGGTACGCTCACTGTCCCGGTCTGAAAGTTGTTAGTCCCTGGAACTCCGAAGATGCCAGAGGTCTCCTCAAATCAGCCATCAGAGACGACAACCCCGGTGAGAGCCGTTCTTTTGTTGGACGTGTGACCTCCAGTTCTTCTTTTAACCTTCTGCTCATTTATATAGAAAAGTATAATAAGCTCAAGTTTAATGTTTTTTTAATTCATATGTGTTTGAGCTGTAACTGTGTGTGTGTGTGTGTGTGTGTGTGTGTGTGTGTGTGTGTGTGTGTGTGTGTGTGTGTGTGTGTGTGTGTGTGTGTGTGTGTGTGTGT